GCCTTATCAGCAGAGCATTGGTGGGAAATCTCATCTGTAATGTCAGGAGATCTCAGGGAAAGGCATTTTCCTCCCCTGAGGTGATGTGCATGGTCACATGTCCTAGTCACATGCCTAGTCACATGTGCCAGAAAACCAGGAAGTAATAGGAGATCTAGTAATCTGCCCTTAGTAAACATGGCCACTGTCAGAAGACTGGGGAAGAAAAGAGAAATAAGATATGCAAAGAATACAAAGCCTACAATTATCTAGAAGTATGTGTTTGTAGATTGTCATTACTAAACATTTCTAATGGTGTGTTTGTTGTTATATTAAAGATACGGGTAAAGGTCCGCTTTAAATGGTTTGTCCCAACCCTCTATCTGCCACTTTTGCTGGACAGCTTGGTCTGTTCAAGGAAGGTGAAAAATGACAGATTTACTGGTCAGAGCCCCAGAGTAGTAAAAAAACGGACGGACGGCACTGCAGCATTGGCGGGTTGCCGTCGGCAGACGGCATTTTTTTCTGCTCGTGCGCGCCCCCTAGCGGGCACGCATGGGCAGAAAAGACCCGACCAATGCAAACACCCGTTACCGGGTGTTTCACATATAGGCGATCAGAGGCTCCATAGCCCGCCGATCGTCTATATGTGCTCGTTTCCAAAGCGAGAGAGACCCCTAATGTCTCCATAAAGAGGACCTGTCAGTGTGCCTTTGCTATTATATAGGGGGATTGTTATCCCCCTATATAATAGCAATAACAATAAGTGCAAAAAAATAAATATAAATAAAAAAAAATAAAAGTAACATATAAAAAAGGAAAATAAAATAAAAGTCACATATAAAAAAAGGGGAAAAAACCCCCCCAAAATGTTTAACTCCCCCACCCCCACGTTTACGCGCCTATAAACGTAAATACGCGTCCGGTGCCCCAGCGCGCAAAAATTACAATTGCGCTACACATGTTACATATCGCCGCGAACGTCGCAGTGAGAGCAATCATTTTAGGGCCATCAATCACTGATAACACTAAACTGATGAGCGGTAACAGCTTTTAAAGCGTCGCCTATGGCCAATTTTGGGTATTATCGTTTTTTGAGGTTTCGCGCGCGCACGCAATTTTAAGGCTTGACATGTTTGGTGTCTTTTTACCCGACGTGACCCCGTCTTTTATATTTTACCAAAAAATTGGGTAATAATAAATGTTTTATCATTTAATATAGGGGAAACTGTTTTTTTTTTAAAATTTCGGTAATTTTTCCTTAATATAGTAAAAAAATAAAACCCCCAGTGGTGAATAAATACCACCAAAAGAAAGCTCTATCTGTCCCCAAAAAAGGGTATAAAATTCATTTCAGTACAGCGCTGCATGACGGAATAAATGTCAGTCAAAGTACCGCAGCGCTGAACACTGAAAAATGGCCTGGATGGGAAGGGGGTTTAACACCGCGGATGTCAACTGGTTAAAATACAGTGAAAAATAAGAAAACTAACGCAACCACAACATGCAAGAACTGTTAAGCTGCACTATATTACATGTTTGATTTTGGGTTTAGATACGCTTTGAGTTGGCCGTACTGTTGAAATTTTGTACAAAAATCGTCCATCTGTGTTTTCAAATTTGCCATCGTGGAGTCAAATAATTTTGTTGGAAAGCCATTAAACATTTTGCCCAGACCTGCTGCTCGATTGGAATCCCAGACATATGGAACAGGTTTCTTTTTGTGCCGAGCACATGAGCAGTACAATATGTACGACTTTTCCTGAACCAAAATCCCATTCGTGGTTAGAGTTCATTCAGATAACATACAATATAGTATCGGTGTTCCCTACGTCACGTCTCCTGACACCAAAATCCCTAAAGTAATTTACAAAATGGATTCTAGATCAATACTTGGGACTTATTCATACACCTACGAATGTTACATGAAATTGCACTGACTGAAAGAAGTACTCCAGGCATAGTAAACATTAACCCTTGCAGTGGGGCTACCCCCGTACAGCAAGGGATAAGTGCGCATTTTGGTCTAGGGCAGGGGTGGCCAAACTCCAGCCCTCCAGCTGTTGTGGTACTACAAAACTACAAACTGAGGCATTGCAAGATTCTCACAGCCACAGAAGCATCATGAGATTTGTAGTCTCCCAACAGCTGGAGGGCCGGAGTGTGCCCACCCCTGGTCTAGGGTCTAAATTAAAAAATATATACTCACCCGATCCTCGGTCATGTGCCGTTGACAGGTGACCACTCACCTCTCTCTCTCTCTCTCTCTTGATCGCAATCTCTCTCGATCTCTCTCTGCTGTGGAATGTCCCTCGGTGTCCTCACATCACATGCAACTGAATGGACGTGATGCTCTCTGCATCAGCTTCTGTGCACATCTCTGCTCTGTAGGATATTACTGGCCGTCACCTTTCTACTTTAACATAAGCCCCAATGCAGGTCACAGTAGAGAAGGGCCACCCAGCCTCAGAACTGAGGCCCAATCATGTAGGTGGCCACTGTAAGAAAGGAGGGTGAGGGATAATATGATGGACAGTGGATGAGGTGGGTGATGGTCCGCTTTACAGAAGAACTTCACCAATGGTTCCCCACCCATAACTTACCTCTGCTGCTCACTTATCCAGGCTAAACATACGTACAGGACCAGTGAATCCCGCGTTATTATTTTCACGATCTTCCGCTGCACACCCCATGCTGTGCCGCCATTGTTGTTTTCTTCTTTATTGGGAGCCGGCTCTCTCTTCATGGGTCTTGCAGCGGCCACTTGATGATGCACCGCCAGATCAATCCTTCTGAGCTGCACAGAAAATATTCCATCCACCGCTGTGTGAACGGGCCCCGTACGCAGCAACATTTTTACCAATAGACCAGGAAATAGATATAAAAACTTATTTACAGGACAATCAGAAATTAGACCGACATGGAGTGATATCCTCACTATATCTGTCATGCAAGGTGAGACCGGCTCCTCCAACTGGACACAGGAAATCCTCTACTATTCATCAAAAATAGACGTCTTCCACTTTGTATCCAAATGTTCATATCTAACAGTAGGAGCCCATTCCCACCAATGCTAGCACTTCATATCCAAAAGTAGGGGCCCATTCCCACCAATACTGACAGTTCATATCTAACAGTAGGTGCCCATTCCCACCAATGCTAGCAGTTCATATCCAAAAGTAGGGGCCCATTCTCACCAATACTGACAGTTCATATCGAACAGTAGGCACCCATTCATACCAGCACTGACAATTCGTATCATATAGTAAGGGCCAATTGACATAATCGTTGGCAGTATCCAACAGTTGGGGCCCATTCACACCAATGCTGACAGTTCATATCTTACCCTAGGGGCCCATTCATACCAGCACTAACAATTAGTATCTTATAGTAAGGGCCAATTGACACCATCATTGACAGTATCCATCAGTAGGGGCCCGTTCACACCAGTGCTGATAATTCATATCGACGAGTAAGTGTCCATTCTGTATCTAACATTAGGGGCCCATTCATACAGGCACTGACAATTCATATCTAATGCAAACCATTGTTGTTAAATAAATCCTGTAGAATAATAATAACAACATCATTAGGGGCCCATTCCCACCAGTGCTGCCAATTAATATCTAACATTAGGGGCCCATTCGCACCAGTGCTGCCTATTCATATCCAACATTAGGGGCCCATTCGCACCAGTGCTGCCAATTCATATCTAACATTAGGGGCCCATTCGCACCAGTGCTGACAGTTCATATCTAAAATTAGGGGCCCATTCGCCCCAGTGCTGACAGTTCATATCTAATATTAGGGGCCCATTCGCCCCAGTGCTGACAGTTCATATCTAACATTAGGGGCCCATTCGCACCAGTGCTGCCAATTCATATCTAACATTAGGGGCCCATTCGCACCAGTGCTGCCAATTCATATCTAACATTAGGGGCCCATTCGCACCAGTGCTGACAGTTCATATCTAAAATTAGGGGCCCATTCGCCCCAGTGCTGACAGTTCATATCTAATATTAGGGGCCCATTCGCCCCAGTGCTGACAGTTCATATCTAACATTAGGGGCCCATTCGCACCAGTGCTGATAGTTCATATCTAACATTAGGGGCCCATTCGCCCCAGTGCTGACAGTTCATATCTAACATTAGGGGCCTATTCACAAGAGTACTGACAGTTCCTTCAAACAGTCAGGGCCCATTCACACGAGTGAGCACACGTTATGGTGCACATACACACGGTCTGGTCTGCGTGGTCACCTGCGCTGCAATACACTGTAACAACACATCACAGTGTCTACTTTTCCCTTAACGTATAAACGACATTCAACGCTATGCACGGCATTGCGTCCCGCTGCCGCGGAATGTAATGCGTTGTATAAAAACACAGCATTATATACGACACGCACCAACGCACCTGTCCGGTGTGAACGGGGCACATAGAGAACAATTGTTTTCCTGCGTTGGTGTATCAGCTCCGCGCTCCTGCAGTGAATGAGCCCCGACTTGTTCCCTCTCTCAGCCCCATGACACGAGAGAAGTGGCCGGGCCTGGAATTCCCACTTACACAATTCCTAGATGTGATCGTACCATGAATCAGAAACATGAGTCACGCTTCCTCCAGCACATGTGGAGAGCGTGCCCATCTCATGCTCACCTACACACGTGTAACCGTTAACATTCCTCAGAACAATTATTACACTTAAAATGATGAAATTATTGTTTAAAAAAAAATCAACAATTTAAAAAAATAGTCATGTTGTATGTGTCTAATAAAATTCACACACACACACACACACACGCCTCCCTGCCATTAGCAAAGGTCATGTATGTGGATCTAATCTGTGCATTCAGGTTAAAGCTGTTTGCTTGCCATATGAGAGCTGTCATAGTGACAGACAGGCAGACTTCTGCAAAAGAGGTTCTGCAGCAGCTGTGGACAGCCAGTACATGTATGTCTCATGTTTAGAGGTGCAGGCAGTGTGTGAAGGGTGGAGGGAGGAGGTAGGACAGGTACTCACAGGAGCAGTATGGTGGAGATGGGCAGTTCGAGCTCCTCCTCAGCACACCCAACCAGGCTCAGCACCAGGTCAGCTCCCCGGACTCCTCTGCCTATGGAGGCCCAGCATCCAAACACGGAAGTAACCCAGGCACACACATGTTGCCTGACAACTCTCTCAACCAATCGGCACCCAGAGCTTCTCTGCCAGCCGCCAATCACGAGCAGTAGCGATGTCCCACCCACTACTATGGTTACAGTGTTGCACAGTGTGGGGAAACACGCTTTTGCCGGTGAGAGACCGGCTGTGCCCGGAATAGGCGGCTGTGAGGGCTGCCAGGATCTGTGTACTGAACACCGAGTGGTACACAAACGTTCATTGTATACAGCACACTGCAAAAGAGCTGCCAGGTAGTTCATAGCAACCGAAACCTAGTTAACTGTAGTGTTATCGTTGCTATGGGTTACTGCAGTTTGTACATCTTCACTGCACTTTGAAGTAATAATAAACAATGGGTGACACTTGAAGCTTGGACTCGCACCTGAGCAGTTTTCCATCTGATGCATTTGCCACTGAAATCAATGGAAGCGCATCAAAACACGTTGTGTCATGCTGTGAAGGGACCCTAAGTGGCCCCGAAACGTTGCCTATTGTTGGCAAGATGTGCATACGCCAACAAAGACACATTTGGACGCTTGACCTGGGTGTGGTGGGGACATGCTACTTTTTTGTTTGGACATAGCGGTGCCATCCGCAGTCATTTCAGCACCCACTCACATGGGGCATACTGGTAAAGAGCGCAATGGGATCTCCATAGAAAACACATGTGTACACACAATAACGTGCGTTGTAGCACATTTTCAGCATGCATTGCAATTAGCGTTGCCCCCTGTCCCGGGTTCTCTTGGACATTCCGGGTTTTGAGTCCTGCATGTGCTGTATCTGGGTTTCAGCTGGCCTAAAATTCAGAAACAGCACATACAGGATTCAAAACCCGGACTGTCCACGTGGATCCGGGACAGGTGGCAACGCTAATCGCAGTGCATTATGTTGGATGTCAGTGCACGTCATTCCCATAAACACCATGGTGCATTCACATACAATATGATGCGTGTCCTAAGAAGAACTCCATGCACACATTTTCTTAACCCCTGCTGAGGGGCTGCCCCCGTTAAGTGTATGGTTAGGTCTAGGTGCAAAAATAAGAAGTTAGACTCACCTGAACCTTGCAGCCAACTGGTTGATAGAATCCCCCTCCAGCCTCACTTCCCCTCCACTCCAGCAGTCTATGGTCCTGTGAGTCATCATGTTCTATACATGTATAGGACATGAGGACGCCAAGGGACGTACCATCGCCGCAGTGGAGAAGGAGACTCCTGTAGTCTGCGAGGATCAGGTGAGTGTAACATTGTTATTTTTGCATCTAGACCAAAACAAAACAAAACCTTTGTAATGTAAAGGTAGCCGCACTGCAAGGGTTAAGAACATTTGTGCCCAGAGTTGATGGGTTTCCATTGATGTCATTGCGTGAATCAAGCCTAGGCGGGATTTACTTTTCTGTAATGCATTTTTCATTGAAATCAATAGAAATGCATCTCAATGTTTATGTTAGGATGTGCATCAACACAAGTCATGATGCACGTATGCACACCGATGTGCGGTATGATGACATCCAATACTAGGTGCATTATGATCACTCGTTGACAAACATTTTGATGTGTTTCCATTGGCTCCAAGAGAAAATGCATCGGAGGGGAAGGCATAGCAGTGATTCCAGCCTTAAACTCCAAAGACGTCAAGCTAAGCGGAAGCTTTATAGGGTGATGAGTAACGGCACACAAAGTGCATCATGGGAAAAAGGGGTGTGGTTATTTTAAATAAAGATGATCCTTGTACTAACTAATATGTCTGACAGTACCAAATCTTCTTCACAGGATAAAGGATGAAGATTGCGCATTTGTCATCGGCTCCATAAAGACACAATTACCACCACACTGACACCGCAAGAGGGACAATCAGTTCTACCGTGACACCACCAGAAACACTCCCACAATCATACAATCTATTCCGCAGTGACACCACCAGAAACACTCCCACAACCATACAATCTATTCCGCAGTGACACCACCAGAAACACTCCCACAAACATACAATCTATTCCGCAGTGACACCACCAGAAACACTCCCACAACCATACAATCTATTCCGCAGTGACACCACCAGAAACATTCCCACAAACATACAATCTATTCCGCAGTGACACCACCAGAAACACTCCCACAACCATACAATCTATTCCGCAGTGACACCACCAGAAACATTCCCACACACATACAATCTATTCCGCAGTGACACCACCAGAAACACTACCACAACCATACAATCTATTCCGCAGTGACACCACCAGAAACACTCCCACAACCATACAATCTATTCCGCAGTGACACCACCAGAAATATGTTCACAGAGATATCACCAGTTCTACAGTAACACCACGAGTAACAAGTTCCCGGAGATCAATCATTACACACGTTTTACAATGATCAATGATCTTAAAGCACATAAAGGTTGTATAAGACAAGTTACATCCCTCAGACTAACAAACAGTAGCCTAAAAAGCACAGTGGGCAAGTAGCCGACCCATTCGGATACACACTCAAAGCTTGATATCAATGGGGAAAAAATTAGTCCCAGTCATTGGTATCAATAGGATTAAATGAGCCCCAATCGTTGGTATCAATGAGTTCAAATGAGTCCCAATCATTGCTATCAGTGGGATAAAATGAGCCCCGATCATTGGTATCAGTGGGATTAAAATTAGCCCCAATTGTTTGTATCGGTGGTATAAAATGAGTCCCAGTCATTGGTATCAGTGGTATAAAATGAGTCCCAATCATTGGTATCAATGGGTACAAATGAGTCCCAATCATTGATGTAAATGTGACAAAATGAGCCCCAATCATTGCTATCAGTTGGATAAAATGAGCCCCAATTGTTGCGATAAATGGGTACAAATGAGTCCCAATCATTGATGTCAATCGGACAAAATGAGTCCCAGTCATTGGTATCAGTGGTATAAAATGAGTCCCAGTCATTGGTATCAGTGGTATAAAATGAGTCCCAGTCATTGGTATCAATGGGCTAAAATGAGTCCCAATTATTGGTATCAATGGGATAAAATAAGTTCCTATTATTTATATCAATGGGATAAAATGAGCACAAATCATTGGGCTCATTTGAAAATACAGCAGCATGCATATTGTCAGTGTGTTGATCTGTTGGGGAGAGCTGTCATCACTTTCCCCTCCACTATATGTAGGCTACTGTTTGTGTTTATTGGCCTCCAAAAGACTCGGGTACCTGAGGTCAGTCCCATTATTCCTGCAGGTCCGACGCTCTCTAGTATCTATGGGGAATGCATAGTGGTTTGTTCATATTTTCTTTTTCTATTCATTATGGTTACAGCTAGAAAGATAAACATTTAAGAAATGCTACTTTCTGAGTCACTGACCTTCAGCCGGAATGCCGCTCTGCAAAGTCAGAGTAGACTTACATGTACATACTTGTTGTGGGTTATTGATTCAAAGTATGGAAGGCAGAGGGACAAAATGACAGCCAGACAACTAGCATTTGCGAAATGAGTTGACAGCCATGGCACTCTACATGGTTCTCCTAGGAAAGGATTCCTTTAAGTTTGTAGTCTAGTTTTGGTAGACGAGAAGAGAAGAGAGAATATGTCAGATGAATATAAGAAGAAAAGCTGGAGGTGTAATGTTTTGGTACCAGCAGTGTATATTTATCTGTTATGGCTGAATGGTGGAAGTTCTGGGGACATTTCAGAATTCCTTCCTGCCTTGCTGGTTCTTATTGGTCAGGGAGGTTGCTCATCGGAGGACAGGACAGTACTCAGCAGTGTCGGAGCTTTACCTACCAGAACTGGCATGCTCTCTCTGTATGTCAGTGTATATTGTAAAGAAGATTGTGAACAGGCAGTAGCGATGAGCTGAATGTGCATGGTTTCGGTTCATTTGGATGTTAGAAATCTGGGTTTGGCGAAATCCCAGCGAACTGAACCCAGGGCTGTCTGTGTCCATGCAACCACTAAGGATCATGGGTTGCTAGAACACTAGCGACTGGCATGCACAACATCATGGGCTGCTAGAACACTAGCGACTGACCTGCACAACATCATGGGCTGCTAGAACACTAGCGACTGGCCTGCACAACATAATTGGTTGCTAGATTGCTAGCGACTGGCCTGCACAACATAATTGGTTGCTAGAATGCTAGCGACTGGCCTGCACCAGGTCATTGGTTGCCAGAATGCTAGCGACTGGCCTGCACAACGTCATTGGTTGCTAGATTGCTAGCGACTGCCCTGCACAACGTCATTGGTTACCAGAATGCTAGCAACTGCCCTGCATAACGTCATTGGTTGCCAGAATGCTAGCGACTGGGCTGCACAACGTCATTGGTTGCCAGAATGCTAGCGACTGGCCTGCACAAGGTCATTGGTTGCCAGAATGCTAGCGACTGGCCTGCACAAGGTCATTGGTTGCCAGAATGCTAGCTACTGGCCTGCACAACGTCATTGGTTGCCAGAATGCTAGCGACTGTCCTGCACAACGGCATTGGTTGCTAGAATGCTAGCGACTGCCCTGCACAACGTCATTGGTTGCCAGAATGCTAGCGACTGGCCTGCACAACATTATTGGTTGCTAGAACACAAGGAGGTTTGGTGGGCAAACGGGCGACCTCATGATCGATCTGAACCTGAAGCTCATCAGGAGTTTTAATTGCTCCTTTGGATTTTGGCAGTTTAATCCTTATTTTCTTTCCCTCCCTTTCCAAATCTGACTTTAAGTCCCAATATTAATTGCTTCAATAACCGTCAGGCATGTGCATGCCCAGTGACATGTAGAGACAAGCTGTGTAACGCTAGTGAGGGTATAGAAGGGGGTTGCTGTCACATGGTTTACACCTCATATAAAATAACTGTTGTTGGAAAACCTGTACGCAAATAATTCCAAACCCAACACTGAGCATCTCATAGGGGCAGTCTATTGAAGGGAGACAAAAAGGAACAAAAACTAAACAGTTATGTAGATGAGCTTCACACTAGGTGTATAGAAATCTCAGAAA